AAAACAAAATGTTTGAAAAAATATATATTTCTTACAATTTTTATCATTATAATATTTTTGAATTTCAAATTTTTACTTTTTGAATAATAACCCATCAATTTAATTATTTAATTATTAGTATCATTTAAAGTTTTGATGAGTGGAGTAGTGGATCGACATTTTACGGAGTGCCGCAGTTTCATTCTACATTTTAAATACTTATAAACTAGGTATGTAGCCATGTAGGTGCTTATATTTAACTACTAAAACTTTAAAAAATCGTATTAAACATAATAAAATACAATTTTTTGCATAGAAATTCTCATAAAAATAAAAAATATTCTACTGGGGAATATGAAATTACACTGTCATTCAAAAAAGTAAAAACTTAAAAATATTGTTTTACAATGAAAACATGTATAGGTGTAGATGTTATTTATATACACTACACAGTACACAAGCTTAAATTAATTAATGAGTTTGAGCTTAGAGAAAGTTGGTAATGTAGTATGTACTATAGTTGACCTAGTATCCAAGTTTACCTGAATTAAATAGATAAGTATGTACTTTATTTTATAAAACACATTTTAAAATAGTGAGTGCAAATAAAAAATTAAGCTTTAACCATTAAAGTGAAACATTTTTATTATTTTATTATAATATAATATGTGACAGTGTGAAGATTGACTTTTAATTACAACTAAATTTATAATTCAATTTTAGCACACTGAAACTAGTTAAATTGGAATTAACCAATGGCAGGCACCGTGCAAGTTGTTATTTTCTTTCAGAAATTTCAATTTAAAATGTAAACACTCTAATCCCATGTACATGGCTGGAAGGTAGGTAGGTAGGAAGGTATGAAATATCTATGTACAATTTTTCATTAAAAATATATTTTACGTGGCATTGTTTAAAAGTTATTTTCACCAAGATGAAGAAAGATAAAAAAAAATTGAACCACGTTGCATCAAAAATATTCTTCCTTACGACATTCGAATTAAATGAAAGCTCGTAAGTTATAAATTAGGTATTTATTAAATAAATGCATTAACTACATACCTTAGTTGACAGAATAATCAGTATGTATTATCCTCGATTAATAATGATACAATGACATTCGTAATTATACTCATGTCAAGTTAGAAAAAGTAATTTCCAATATAGGTAATAAAAATAATGAAGTTTAGAATTTTACCTATAGGCAGTGAACATTACGAAAGTTTTTATTCAATCAGCACTTAAAAATCCATCTGCCTAACTATAAATAGGATAGTTATACGCTTTTTTTATTTTTATTAAAATGTATCAAATCGAATTTAAGTTTAAAGCAATAAAGCTTATATGAAATAATATAAAAAATGTGAAGCTCTAACAACATAGTATCATATCAAAACTTTTAAAACATTTACTTGTTGAGCCTTTTACATAAACTATTATTCAAGATAATGTTAATTGTTGTATTAATATTTTCTCTTTTAGCAAAAAACTGTATACGATGAATTATTATGTTGTAGTAAAATATCATTAATGATCCATACGAATTTCAATATTATGTACGATTTACAAACCTTGTATACTCAACTCGCTAGATTTATGTTTTATTTTTTCATATAAAATGCTGTTTTGAATGAGTTGGTGCGTGCAGTGTGTTGAAAGGTTTGTGCCTTTATGAAACGAAAATGATTAACTATCAAGTATTAAATTTATTCTGAACAGAGGTATAGATTTCAAGAATATTTTAAACCATTTTCTTTAGTATTTCCTCCCCAAATAATGAATGTTTTTCTATTTTTACATTCCTTTAGTACAATTTATATTTTATACTCAACTTACATATTATTATAAATTATGATTTGAGAATATTTATGTTGTATACCTCAAAATCTCGTGTAGTAAACTTCAAAATACCTAGGTACATTTTTAAATAAACACCTTAATCATTTCAAATAACATTTAAAAATAGTTACGTATTCACAAATTAAAAAAAAAGTATTGATTAATTGTGTATTACAGAACACAGGTTATTGGTTAATCAATAATATATACCTATAGCATTATAATAATCGATGGTGTATTAAGTTCGTAATTTGTATGAACAGTACACAGATATCAAAATGCCAGAATGTTAAAATGCTAAATTGGGTCATTTCTAAAAAAACATATTTACCCCATCTTTTAAAATGATAAAAATTGTAAGATCTCACGTAAAAGTTCAAGATAAAAAAAATGAAAAAATAGATTGCACAAAAAAAAATAATTGTGTCTCAAGAACTACGTTGATGTAACACTAGTTTAAACTTTAAAGTTCAAACAAGTGTCCTCTCTTTCTGTAAGTTTGACATCAATAAATAAAATTAACCATTACATAAATAATGCATAGTTAGTAAGGTAGTTACTAATATTTGCGTAACAAAAAAAAATGTAATTACATTTATTAACCGTATACACCTATGCTAACAACCTATATTAATCAATAGTTTTAGATAGATTTTAAAATTTTTATGGTGCCTTCAGGAACACGAAATTCATTTGAGGAATACAATTATTTAAACACTACGAGCTTAATAATTGCGTATTATCGATCGTTTTTACTCCAATCGTGCCTTTTAATTAATTGTATATTAATGAAAACCATTTTAAGTTGTATCACTTGCTAACTATCCAAATAAAATGTAATGAATAACTTTTTTCCAGTGTCAGCTTTTGATAGCACCACCCCCTATAAGCAAAACGTGTGCAGGTGGCACAGTTCTTATTATTTAAATTAAATACATAATGGATAAGAATAGTTGATAGTAGATAGTTGGATGATGATTTACTTTTAGTTTGTATTTTATAATTCTAAAACTTTAAAAATACTTTTACAACAGCTGCCCAAAGCATTTTGGCTTCAAGTTTTAACAAATTTAACCTTTTGTGTAAGTTAACAAAAAAGTAACATAAGTAGGTACTGCTGTACAAATAGATGAATAAAGTGTGTTTTATTTAATTTGTAAAAAACTCTATTTTGTAAGGTTTTCTCAATCTATTCAAAAAACTGAGAAAAAGGTTCAATTGTATGAAAATCTTTAAAACTAAAATCCTCAATCGAAATAATCTATCTCTTACACCTCAAGAAAAGTTCAATTGACATTATAATTACAAATAATAATAAATCATTGAAAATATCAAATCTTAATATCAATGTTTTTTGTTCCTCATTTTTCAACATCAAGTTATCAACGTTTTTAAAATTTTTACATTTTCCGGTAAATAACTGATTCGTTCTAAAAATGAGCTTTTTTGAACTTTGAAATATACTACCATTTCATTGAGTTAATACATTTTTCTTTGTATAATGGCTTTATGTAACTTTCTATACCCTCGATATCACCTACAAATAAAAAATATAATACGAAAAATATACATGTATATAAAAACTTTTAAAAAACTTGTGATATTATCCTAGAGTATAAAATATTGGTTTTTTTTTTTTATAATTCAGTCACAAATTACGTAACAATAAGTTAATTTAGCGTACATTTTACAGTCTTTATTCAATAAAATAACTACCTCGAACGTTATTAAAATATAGTTGGTTTCATATTGTTTCAGACCTGTACCCAATAATGTTCCATGCGTTTTATTGTCATATTTAGAAAGTTTGTAAATAGAATTCCTTGTAAAACTTATATTAACTATACATGACATAGGTCGTATATATATTATAATACATAATATATATGCAATATGTAATATGTGTACATATTATGTATCCATTTGTGTGTACAGCTTCCCTGCAAAAATAAATTTGAAGAAAATGTTTTCCATTATAAATGTCAAATACTTACACAGGATCGATTACGTAACTGTGTTCTGTAGTTTTCTTTTGCAAACCCAGTGAACCCAAATAATTATCCCATGTCAATCAAAAAAAGAACAATGCAAATACACGTGACAAAATAAGTTCCTTTATGTAATCATTTTATACAATTAATTTATGCATTTGTGTTGGTATGAATTTGTATGGTTTCTCAATAAATATTTTCTATTATTAAACAGTTTGATACAAGTCAATATTGTGTACCGTTATGTTATTAATTATTATTACTATAGCTAATGTCAACAATGAAAACATTTTATACACTAAAGACATTATACAGAAATTATAATTACTATACTTCATTTTTAAATAATTTAACTAAATGTATCATTAGAATTAAGAATCTATTGACAATTATCAAAATGTTTGAAAGTGTTACTAATGGGTGGCTGCTTTCCTCAAAATTGTCACATATATATGTTATTAAGGATGCGATGTGTTTGTTTTTTTTTTTTAATAATTTATATATAAAATCTGTTTTTCACATTTGCTTATTATACCAAGTGGTATAGATTGTACATTCCTTTTAAAAACAAAAAAAAAATGATCATAATGTATTGTTAAAAATTACTGCAAACTACTAATTAACAGCCTTATTTGCATCATAACTATGACAGATTTTATAATTTCGGATAACTTGTGAATTACTTTGATACAAAATGATTAGTAATAAGTAAGTAAATATTATACATCATTAAAAAAAGTTTATTCCTAAAACCTATAAGTACATACGTTTTTTAAAAATAATTACAAGTTTGAAATATGACATAAGTATGATAATATATTATTATGAACTGAAGAAACCTGCTCTCGCCAACTTTTTTTTAATCAAAACCATTCATCATTATTTTCATGTTTATATAAAATGATAGGTAATATAATATTGCAATACAACCTTTTTTTTAGAAATACAAGAGAAAACATCATGCACGAGGGCCCTACACAAAGTTTATAATCAGTTCACTAAAAAATTGTTTTCATTGTTATATATTAAAATATTACTATACCTTTTTACATTTCAGTGTCAACTTTGTTTATAGATATATTAAGTAAAGATACTTAAGCAGTATCACAACTAAACAAGTAGTTTTTAGTGTCATAAATTATAGTTAATGCCAACTAACGTCATTAAAATGTTATTTTATTCTAATTTTAGACTGTATTAAGAATCTGGAAGACTGCAGAGATAAAATATGGAAGAAATGCAATGTGACCAATTTAGTCGACCATTCACCACACCCTTCATGGGATAATGTGTGCGTTGAACAACTTGTGTGGACATTTAATATACATGCATACGGATTTGCCTGTCTTTTTTTCATTTTATCGTTCTATGCCGTTTTTTCAATCTTAAACATCAGGTAAGTCGTAAGTCTATACTAGATAAATTAGTCTCTGACATAGGTACCTCAACGCTGTATTTAAAATCCAAGTTCTATGTTCAGTAATAATATTTAGGATGTGTAAAACATCTCATCCAGAAAACTTAGTAGAAATGAAGTCAAAAAATTTTAAAAATAAATAGAGACTTAAACCAATACAAAAAAAATAACTAAGGCTATCAGATATTAAATTTTTTTAAAGAATTTAAAGAAGTTATTTTTCTTAAGTGTCTACCAGCGTTGTGCCTGTGTATATTTAAAAAATATGTAGAGGAGCTATATATATAACTATTGGAGCACGTTTGTCGTTTACTATCCCAAAAATTGTTTTGATCAACAAAAAAAATTAAAAACGTCATATGTAAAAACTATAATAGCTACCTCGATCCACTTAGAAAGCACTAAAAATAAATGTTATTTTTTCTCTCCTGTAAAATGTATTAAAAGAGACTTAACTATTGTGATATATAGAACTCCCACCTTTCTCTCTGTTAAGTTACTAAAAGTGTATCATGGGTACACTTTTAAATTAAAAATTTTAAATCTCCTAAAATCATAATCACTTTGTATTTAATATTTTAATATACAGACATGCAGGTACATCAAGAGCAGACACATAACTAGGGGGCTCTACCCCTTCTCCTATTGAGAATGTTTAATTAGCCTAAGTTATTATATTATATTAAAAAAATGATTTTACAAAAACCCTACATCCCCCTATAGCCCCCCATCTCAGCATACAAAGTGACTACACCACTAATCAGGAGTGCATAGTTATTAGTTATACATCACATGAATACGTTAATTTATTTTAAATGTTTTTACATTAAATTCTTAATTTTAACTTTATTATATGTTAATATATTTGTATTCGTTTTAATTAAAGATCACAAACAGCTAACAAAAAACCATACATGGCAGCAATTAATGCGTTATTACTGGCTACAGGTATTTGTAGGGCGTTTGTGTTATTTGTCGACCCATATAATACAAGACGAGTAAGTCGATGTCAATTAACCGTGTGAAAACATACTTAATTTATTATGTTTCAGAACATTTCATCCGTTGTCACACATTTGACATGGGATCTTGGCTTATGCAGCTTAGTGACAGCCCTGTCCTTATTACAATTAGCCTATTTACAACTAACTCAAGTACGTTAAATTTAAACGATATGAACTTTTACAAATCAATTCATATTTTCAAACTGTGTTTTAAATATAGTTGCAAGCGGGACCTTCAAATATGAGACGTAAATCAGTCGTAGTGACAGCTACTGTATTAATTGTCGGAGTTCTTGTTCCAGCAGATATAGTTGCATCCGTTGATTACAAATTATGGGTATAATATCAACTGTATAAAAACAAGTACCAACAAATAATAATATCAAAAATTTCTGCAATAACAGGTTTTAGGTAATGCTGTGCGTATTCTTTTGCATATTTGGGGAATTTGGCTTTGCTGTTTCTTCCTTTACTTAGGTGTTAAAGTGATGACACTTGTTAAACGCATGCCAAAGTCGGTCTTACAAAACTTTGATTCACGACACAAGGGTATGTGTGCTATAATTTAAAATATGTAACAACACTGTAGAAACTTTATTGGTAAACATTTATACATACATACATTTATTTTAATCGATAATTATTGGACCCGTAGTAATCATTATTAGAGCCTGGTATAGTAATTAAGTAGGTAATATTATCCTTCTACATATGAAAACGATACTTATGTGTAAACAAATAAACTTTTTTTTTAAATAACAATATTTCCCGAAGGAAAAATAACCTTATTGAAATAAGGTTTAATGAAACATTGAAAAAATGCAAACAAAAAATGTAGAATATATATATATATTACTGATGAATAGATATAGAAATATTAATCTTGTATTAAAATATCAAGTCATAATACCTGAAAACCTAAAAATTGTATTAATCATCATTCTAAGTAACTACCACGATAGTCCAAAAAATCATAATAAAATATAAAAATGTCTTCGTAATTAAAATTTAAACACTTGCAACAAAAAAAATCACTAAGCTATTCACATATGAAACTACATTCTAGCCGCAGAACTATGTTTAAAATTGTTTTATATAGGTAATTTTATATTTTTCTAACATTTTGTGGTTAGGTTGAAAACTGAAAATTAACTGTATTAACTCAAAACAACTCACTTGACTTCTAATATTATTTTTATACTTAACTGTAGTACTCACTTGTTTACATACAATTTAAGACTTATATTCAATTATATAAAAAGATCAGTCTAGAAATTAAATTCCCAGTAATTTTATTATAAATTCACGGAAACGAACAAAATAATGTTCGGAGCAAATTTTCCTTACTTCTGAAATAACGAATTTTCATTATTGTATTAGAATTTCGTGAATCGTGAAATTAATCTTAGGTAGGTACTTATAATCAATTATCCAGTATTTAAAACTTAAATTAAACGTTTTCATAAATAAAGAAAAGTGTAAGATAATTTCTAAAAAGTAATATGAATGTACTGGAAAATAATATTTTTAAAAAATAAAATAAATAGGACATAATATCAACTATTAAGCTTATACATATTTATAGTACATAATAAAAATTAACTATTATAAAATACATTACTAAAAATAAATTATAATTACATATTATACTTGATACATAAACTGTTACATCAATAACAACTAAATCATGTTGTTTGGCCTATATCGTTTAACATATTTGTATGATTTTATTTTAAATAGGTATAATGCAATTAGGAATATTAGCTCCATACAATAACTTAGCTACATCAATGGCAGCTGCATTTGTACCAGCACTTTTAGTTCCACATCAATCAAAATCAGATTCCAAAGATAGGCCAAGTAAGTTTTATTTAAATAAAATTTGTCTTAATTGATAGTGTTGTATTAATATCAACTTATGAAATTAAGCTGTCAAGATAACAGCACCATCAGAAGTTGCTAATAGCTTTAATAGAATGAATCGGCGGGCTAGTAGTTTCGTGCAAAGACAAAAAAGATCTGGATCACTGTTAAGCCCAACTACACCTTCGAGAAGATCTAGTGAAGTTCAAAGTATCATTCAAAGTAATTTCCTACCTAGTACCTAATATACATTGTATTATATAACATTTTCAATTGTATTACATAATATATAATCATCACAGAACGACTGAGTTGTGTGGAAGGAAGTAAGCAATTTCTGGTATTAAGTCCTAATAACAATGCTAGCGACAGTACAGAACCAGAAGAAAGTTCATGGCGTAAGAGTTTTGCCAAATCAATATCATGGCAATTTCCAAAAACTGGAGAATCCGGCATAACAAATGATACTTCACCAACAACTTCGTCATCGTTACTCACGCCATTACAAGTAAAATGCACATACAATAATAAGTACCTATACAACGCATTATTTTAAATACATAGGAGTTTGCTTATGGACTTATGGTACTTCACATTGATGGCAAGTTGGCTGTTCTTCTTAGTTGAAAATATACATGCCGGTGAGGCGGGTGTGGCTTATTCTTGCTCTGTTGGTAATAATGTTTACTATACGGAATGTCAGAATGTGTTGTTTGGGGATCACCATTTTTGGACAGTTTTTTTATTTATTATCTGTTGTCTCGTCCCATTATTATTTCCACTGTTGGGTAGAGATTTGGTTGATTATTGTAATTAGATCTTTGTACGTTACAGAATTTATTTCATAGGGTATTTATTTCTGATGATGATACAGCTTGGTTTGCTAATAGATTACCATTTACCAGTAGTACCTACCAGAGTGTGAAATACATAAACTCAATAATATTATTTCAGTTGACCGTAATGTTGAGTATCATTTGGGAAACTTCATTGGACAGATTAACTGATAGAAAATAAGTTATGGTGCTAAGAAAGTAACTTATGATGAGTTCTTTATGTATGTATGAATGGATTTGGCTTAAATAATTGCTTCTCTGATGGCAATTATTTCTGCCGCGAAGATACTCAGTAATCACTAATCAGTATGTAGTTTAAAGTCTTTTTGGCTGACGATTGAACTCCACTGACTTATGTATACAATGAAGAACGACACATTTTAAGCATAGACCTATTAATAGATATAGATCTATGATCTTCAGCCATCCCACCGACACGGAGGAAGCGTTAGGTGAACCAACAGAGATATTATTAATAATTTTTACAACGCTACCTACTAGATTTATAAATCTATATTATAAATGAACAATTCAAACTTAAATATGTAGTCACGCCGGTATGTTTACCTACCTATGTTTACTCTTAAAATCGTATTCACTATTATTTATATGTAAAATAATATGTTTAATTAATAATTTAGGACATATTACATATATAAAACTTTATAGGCTAGAGACTAATTAATTGTAAAAGCCTTTATTCCTAAAATAAAAATAAAAAATCGCTTATGATAACAATATTTATTATTTTCAGCCACAAAGAAGTTTTAGACTTAAGTCTACCGGTCAGGCTGACCAGGAAACCAGGCCTACAACCAGACATTCGAGCAGTTTTTCAGATTTGGTCAGTATTCAATTGTTCGCGTAAAATATAAACCTTACACTAACTGAAATTGAAACGTGACACTGGTCATTTTATTTTAGAGTTCTGAAATGACCTTAAGTACGATATTAAATCATATTGCATTTGTAAATCGAGGAAATGGAACAGGAGATGCTAAAATGGACAACGTTCGAAGACGTACTTCTAAAGTCGCTATTACTAAATCAGAAATCGTTTTAGTGATAAAAACCGTACATGTCTGTGCAGGACTGGCAATGTTATTATGTTTCTTTAACTTTGCTACAGACATTAATTTGATTGGTGAGTACTAGGTTGTATTAATATATAACATACTAAATTGATAACGTAACCTGTATTATTCAAAACAATTTACTACACCTATACTTAGAGTGGCTAATTTTTTTTTTAAGATAAACAAATACATATTTTAAAACAGAGCTTATATTAGGTTATATAATTTAAACATAATTAGGTAGCTAATACTTGCAGATAAAACTAAAAATTGAATACCTAAATTAATAAATACCCAAATTACCCAAATTTATAAGTTAAACATATTTTTACAGTCTTACAACTTTGTTATTCCACCGAATGTATTAATACACGGTACTCAAATTATAAGGACGACTTAAGTCTTTTATTATTTTTTTTTTATATTCTGAGAACACCCTTAGTCGTTAAATCCTAACTTATTTTTTCTGGCGTTTAGGAAGTAGGCACATTTAAACGGGAGACAATACTGTCTTATTTACAAAATATTTTTTAACACAGGTACTTTATTATTTATACAATATTTCACTTAATTATTCAACTTATTGTTACTTCCTTATTCATTTTTTGTACCTACTTTCAGCATTGATAACACCTAAACGATTTATAAGTTGAAAGTACTTAAATAGATAAATAATATAACCTAACCTACATGTGTCTTTAAATCGATGATAGATATTATTTTTTGACAATTTATATTTATATTTAATTTATATTCATATTTATATTTATATTCATACAATGCCTGTTCAAACATTGATTAGTGTATTTAGGTAGATAATAAGAAAAAAAGTATCACCTACATTTTATTATTTCCAATGTTGACTTATCAGACATTAAGATTTAAAACATGAATAAGGCAGTCTTAAATTTCAGAAATAATATAAAGTTATAATAATTTATTTTTAACAATATTATAATGTTATTTTTAAGGAGTTTACTCGTATGACAAACCATGGTGCTGGCTAATTTTGCAAAGTGTGGTACGAGTTTTGGAATTATCGTTGGCGTGCATGTTAGCAAACCTAACAAAACAACCAGTGAACGTCATACACCACACTCAATACACGCATCCGTTGAGAGCGAAACTTCGGGGGTCATTTTTCATTTAGGCCCTGAAAATCAAAAATCAAAAGGGTTAATTTTATGACTTAAAAAATAATACAATCACTGAGTTAATCTTAAGTCTGACGGGAGTACTACGCAAATGAGATCGGGACCATTATTTCAAACGTGCAATAACAGATTTTACAATAACAGATTTTACATTAATACATAACAGGTATAAATTTTATATTACCTTTATGACTTATTTACTTGAGATATTATTATTTGATTTGTTCTCTATTATTATTCACTTGAATGTTTTTAACATTATTTGCGTAGTATTCCTTAAGAAATATGCAATCGATCTTATTTTTAAACTTTTCTCTATCTTACCTCACACATATTATATAGGTATGTACCACCTATACACTCGAATATCTTTATAAATATTAAATATATATATATATATATTTCATTAGTGGTTTAGGTATATTTTTAGAAATTCGAGTATTATCACTCGAAAGTATTTAACTACTTTATTTTACACTATAATTAAGTATCAGCGAATGCATTCGGGAAAGAAATTTGAGTTACCAAAAATATTTTATGTATAAAAGGGTTACCTATGTTATACCTATAAAGTGCGTGTGTGTAGTAGGCGATTCGGATTCACTAGTCATACGTACCATGTTTGATGTTACATTTTTTTTGTATGCAATGGTAGTGGTGGATTTAAGATAGAATTCTATTAAAATTATAGGTAATCAACAAAAATATAAAGGCCTTTTGCAAAAGGTAGCTTTTACAAAACCATTTCGTTGTAATAGCGAATGTTAAATCAACTTCTGATTGTATGGTGAAAGAGTTCTGTAAATAGGTACCATAAGACATAATATAGAACCATATAACCATTAACGGTTTCTCACAAACATTTTAGGCTTGGCAATACATAATCTTAATTTTACGACGTACAAAATGCGAAATATAAATAATTGTTAAAAAAAAATAGCCAAGAAGAACACCTGAACACCGTCTCCGATAAATGTCCCACTCTTCGAAAACACCACTGCGTTTAACTAAATAATATGCTTCATGAATTATTATAATACTCTATGCAGAATAAACTATAAAAATAGATTGGGTATTAGTGAAGTACGTATTTATTACTATAAATTATAACATTATTCTTTTAAAAATAAATTTTGCTTATACCTAAACAGGTATAATATATTATATAGGTATTAGGTTCATTATCCTACGCATAGTAGAATAATAAATTATAATATCAAATATTTTAAAAATGTCAATTATAATTTTTAGGTAGGTAGGTAGGTATAGTTGTTACCTATTATAGATTACGAATATAGGTGCCTCTACATTTTAAGACTATGGAAAATAGATATTTAAATTTTAATGACAGAGAAAATTATCGGTATTACTATACTTACAGTTGTACAGTAACATTTTTTTAGTCATATTTTAAGGTATATCTACTTACAATGTAACGATAGATGTTATGTCTATAATATTATACGTTATCTTTGCACATCATAGAATATTGATATCATTCAAATAACATCAAAAAGTTCATATTAGGTATAGCCTATAGGTACTTAACCATAGTACCTACCTAATCTTCAACACCTATAAATAATTATAATCCATTTTTCTATAGGCAAAAAATAAAAAAATATTCTTAATAACACAGTTACATACACAGACATTTCTGAATAAGGAGAGGGGATACAAAAAAATATTTGTTTCATAAACATATTTTCACTTTTTTACATAGTGAAAAAAATCCAAAGGGGGTTTTCACACCCTCTCCCCTATCGTGTATACCACTTAAAAAGCATGTACAATTATATAGGTAGGTACCTAAATATTATATATACACAGGGTTATTCACCAAGCATGCTCACCCCCATTGTTTTCCGCTTTAATAATGAATTTATGTGTTTATAAATCTGAGTAATTCAAGTATATTATATAGTAAGGATATAATCGATTAACATGTTTTACAAAAGTACCTATGTAATAGATGTGATATTTAATAATTTATGTAGTAGATAGGTAGGTAACCTAAGTTCAAATTTTTATTTAGATAAATCGACATTTTTAAATAATAATTTTCAGGAAAATAGCGATTCTTATTTGAAAATAATAAAGTTCACAGAAACTTACTCTGTAAAAAATATAAAAAATCCAAGTATTTGCAAATATTTACCTCGACCATAGATATTTAAGAACTCCAAAAATCAGATTTTAATTTATTTATTACTTATTAAAAGAAAAATTGAGGTGAGTATGCTTGGTATCTATATCACTCTGTATATATATATACAGTGTACAGTATACATATATATATATATGTATATATTATATACAAAGTTACACTAGCTAAAGTGTAGATAGATATTTTCATTTTAAGAGAACATGGTGCTCGCATGTAATTGTTTTTGTCTAACAAATGTACAACTTGATAAATTAGTTTTCAGCAGAATCCATTTGTGTTTTAATATTACTGTAAATTAGTAGGTTTATTATACAATTTAATGCTAAGAATATTATCTGTTTTCTCAAGTCAGTTATTTTTTATATTTTAATATTTTAATTTTAAATTAAGTTATAAGTATGTAGGTACCTACATAAACTCAAATTTAATTTTAAAATGCTCATAACTTTCTATAAAATTAAAATAACTAAAAAAATCAATAAGAAAAGAGTGGACAGAAATAATAATCTTACCTTTACATTTGATAATAATAAAATTAATAACGCAAAGTGGATTGTGCTAACCACAAATTTGCTATGTAAGATAGAAACACATGCAGGCACTGTGCACCCTCTAAATATCTGAACTGCAATAATTATATCAATAATATTTTTAATTATTAAATATTATTTTTCGTAAGTGTTATGTTTGTGGTATTTGTTAGGTGTATAATTAATGATAGAGTTTAGTTTATTTTGTCGTTTATTAATTATACAGTAAATTATATTATATATTATATAAATAAAAACAACAACATTTTATGTAGATAGTATTTTTTTAAATCGTTTAGTTTATAAAAATAATAATTACTCTCGGTAATAGCCAATAGGTACCTAATCACTAATTCACCTGTTAAGAATCAATTTATTTATTGATTGTTAATTATTATGAAGTTTGATTCATTGAAAATTAATTATAACAATAGTTTAAACAAATATTAAGGTTGTATACCTATTACCTACCTATCCATTTAAAATGTTTAACTTTATTTTAGGTGTCATTTAATTTATTATACAAGATTATAAGCCCAAAAACCCTTCACTTACTTAGTTACCTTTCTATAACACTAAAATTAGTAGGTAATTTTGTGTACTTACTTACACAATTATCAGTATTATAATTTGTAGTTAATACCTACCTATAATTTTTTTTTTTTATTATTATTCATTTTACTATTTAAAATATTTTTACTCTATGAATTAATCAAAGTTTCTAAAGAAATCTTTAACACCACAGTTATAATATTACATTGTGTATAGTATAAGGGTAAAAATAATTTAATAAAAATTTTAATTGTTTATTTTTTATTACATTACATTATAAAATGTATAAATATAAAAAGTCTTATAGTTATTAATGTTCATTTTTAATATCCTTTTGTTATGATGTATTAAAATAAGGTGTAATTGTTAAGCATATAGTATTATATTGTATAACCAATGAATATTTTATTAAGATACACATACTATACAATACAATGATGGATATGGATATAGAAGTAGAACTAATATCTTCTATTCGTTGACAAAATTTAAAAAAATAAATGTACTTAGTTCTTTATCAATAAAAAAAATACATTAATTTACCTATGTAGTATGTATCTGTATTTTGTATATAGTGTGAATTTCTCAAACCCTTTAATAAACAAATCGGTTAGGGCATGTACCTTGATTCAGTCATTACGACGTAACAGTGTGGCTATGTAGGCCAAGTAGGGTGTAATAAAAAATATGCATGTACATTAAGTATTTAATACAATATTCTACATACACATGATTTTTATTTCTTGGTTTTTTAACATATTAAACGGGCTATATTTTGGGATTATAATTATTAAACAATGTTAAACATTCTTACATTCTAGCATTGATGAAAATATTTATTATATTAAAATATACAATAATACATGCATAATTAATCAATGATATAGTTTATTTAAATTTTGTATTTTGTATCTATATTATAGTACCAAGTACTTAAACCAGGCTAGAATACTATAGAATGTAAAACACAATTATCTATTATTAAAAAATTTTTCCATGTATAGCTATGTAGTGTGCTGCAAAATTAATTCAACCACTCTTCTGTACATTAAGGCGTCAAGTAGCTTACTGTAATGGATGTGTTAAATTTGAATTCAATGATAAAATATCATTGTATGTGAAAAATGATTCATGGGTACTTGTTTATCACCCTGCCACTAGTCAAGGGCACCCATAATTTAGTTGGCAATCTAGTTACTACTTTACTAGTTAGTAGTTTCATTTTATCCCCCTCCCCCTTCATTATAAATTACCCTGGGCGCCCTTACCATCAGTCGATCTTACATCAGCAGTCTTTACCTAATCTATAATCTAAAATTTCAATATCCATAGTCAATATTTCTCTGTATTTCTATTATATCTTACTTTTACATTAGTGTGTGATCTATTTTTGGAGAAAGGATAAATTATTATTATTTACTTTTTTTTGAAAGTTTTTTAATGATGTATACAAAATTTCATATTACAATGGATGGTCTACCAAGAAGTCTGGTGATAAAATATATACAATATGGTGGCAGGCTTATTCATGTTAAGTTATTTTTATGGGGACAACCATCTGATTTATATTTATAGAAATAACTAATGAGCAAAATAGTTATTAAACAAATTTATATTTTCTCAGAAACATATTCATTATTTAAATAATAATAAGATGAATAAAAACTATTTATCTTTAAAAAATAGATCCATAGTGTTTTGATATATTTGATTTCCTAAACATGTAGGGTCTTCTTTTTTCAATGAAGCTAATACTTCCAAAACTTGCCTGAAAAAACTCAAAAAATTCAATTAAACAAGAACTATTCATTATGAATTTTTAAAAATAAATAAAATCATAAGAATACTCAGTAGATAACATCTTACAAGTAAGTAGCATAGAATACAAGAAATATATAGTTGTAAAATATAGAAATGTGTATTTTAATAATTGACGAATATTAAAATCAATTTTTAATTTTATGATCTTACCTAATGGTAGATGGTTCATTTCTTCCTTTGATCATAGAACCATCAATAAATTTTTCTTTTTTCACCGAATTAAATTTAGTTTGTACGTAAGAATAAGATGGATGTGTTTGTTTTACTTCACACCATGGGCAATCTGTTTCCAGCATCAAACGATCTATAGGCAATTCTGATATTGTTTTTAAATTATCTTCTGTCCGCAATGAGCTTTAACATATTAAATGTATCATTATTTTAAGTATTAATAAAATTAATATTATTCATAATCATGAGATTTATAAAAATATTTTCAGAAGTTTTTTTTTACATAAACCTATCTACTATATTCTTATGAAATGCTATCCTTTTCCTAATTTCTATATTCAATAAAATTTGATTAAAAAGTCTGGGAATTTTAAACATTTTAAACACATTTGTATAAGTAAATACAGTGTATAGAAAAAATTAACAAAATATGTTATGATGCTTAAAAAAAATATTTGTTTTAGCGTTTTTCTTACCATCCATTAATTCCAATATAAAACCCCAAGTTAATCATGTCTTTGGCTTCTTCTAAACTTCCATCAAAAGAATGTACAACGCCTCCTGATTTTATAAGATTGGGATTTCTTTTCAGTATATCTAAAAATGTAGGAGCAGCATCGCGGCAGTGTAGAAATAATGGTAAGTTAAAATCTTCACTTAATTTTAACTGCATTTCAAAATATCTAAAATAAATATACCTAACTTATAATATATGATACTTAATAGTAATAATATGATGCTACAAACTTTTCTTGGATCTCTTTGGAGCAAAAATGTAACCGTTGATTATCAAGTCCACATTCTCCTATTGCTACTACTTTAGACCGATTATTTTTTATCAAGTCTGTTAAACTATTTAAATATTCTTCGGGATTCTTGGCTTTAGTAAACTCATCACAACGTGTTGGATGACAACCAACAGTGCAGTAAAGATTATCTATAATACTTGTCAAGATTAAAAAATGTATTAAAGTATATTATAAGCAAATAATATACCACTCAATGATGCTATCTTTAAAGCTTCAATGGAATCATTTAAGCTGCCACTAGTTATAATAATCTTTTTAAGATCATTTTTCCAAGCACGTTCCAAAACCTCTTCTAAATCTTCTTTATGCTTTTTATTACCATTGTATATTCCTTTAAACATAGGATCTGTCAAATTTGCCCCAATATCTAAAATTAAATCATAAGTAACCATTAAGTAAATAATCTACCCAAATATATTTTTTATTTATAACATACTATGGGCACCAGGGCCCAGGGGTCACCAAATAGCGGCCCACAGGCAACATGCAACCTGTGGACAAATTTATCCAGCATATTACATTTTTACCGACATCTGCCATTTTTATGGCCTGCATTTTGATTTCCAGATTCCTAATGCGATCTCTTGTCACAGTTCATCAATTGAGAAAGCCATAGATAAAGCAGCCACCAAATTTTTGGGCAGGCTGGCAAAAATCAAAGTTCAACCGGGTCAACCATGAACCAATAGCCAAACTAAGTTAGGTCTGGCCATAGGTAAGTGTATACCTTTATAGTTCAACCCTTATATATTATACTGGTACTTAATAAATAATAACTTACCGATGAATGGAATAGAAGACATATTTGTAAACCTTCGGAGTAAGTATGACTTTAAATTCATTCACTTACGTTATTTCCAACTATATGGAAAAAAATTATAGAAACATACAATTTATTAAAATTTAATCTACGTTATGTCAAACTGAACAAAAAAACCTATAGAGTACTAGACAATAGTTATTATTAAATATATTATTATTCTTAGTTCTTACCCTTTCAATTATTTACTTTGATTTATGTCTTAATATGGACCAAGATGACAATTAAATATTTAAATAGTACCTACCACAGGGAACAGGGCAGAAGAGCTATGATTATATTATGAAAATAGTTTGATAATACATTGTGTGATAGTACCGTGGAATATAAATTATAATACTGTGTATAGTAGGCAGTAGCGTAAATTGGGTGGAGCAACTGTAGCACTTGCAAGTTGCAACACCACATATATTAAATATTAAAAAAATGCAAAAATTTAAACTTGCAACTGAAAATCATAATAATTTGTACACCTATAGTTTCTATTTCGATTTCAAGTCTAAATGTGTTTACTAAACAAGTACCTATGTATAAAATTATAATTGTCGAACAAGAGTCGTTAAAATGCTAATTGGCACGATTTATATCTTAAATCATGTACATGGCTATGGTGATTTAAAAATTGTAGTCATTTATATTAATTTATCAACATCATTACATCAAGCATTTGTAAAAATGGCCCAAGTATAACAAATACTAGTTCCAATATTATGTATATTTTATATTTTTGTAAAACCATTTTTAAAGACTATATTATCCTTACCTAGGTACTCCTTAGTCCTTATAATACATAAACATTTTGAGAACTAAAAAACTGCTCATTCAAATTTTGAATTATACCAAACCTATAGGTACATCAAAATTTTCAAAAAAATTATCCACATCATAATTTACAGTAAAAATTAGAAGGTTCTTAATTGAAAAACAGAATTTCCTGTATCACCTCAAGAAACTCTTTACGTAGTACAAAAACTTCATGAATTTGAAAAAACTGTTTTTGAGTAACTATATTTAAAAATTCCGAAAATCAGAATTTGAATAAAGGAAAAATGGGGGTGAGCATGCTCGGTGAATCACCCTGTATATATAATATTCACCTAATACCTACTATTGCATAATATTATAATTTATTATTAACAATTTAACGAGCGGCATCTGTATATAAATTATATGGCACCATTTTAATACACTAAGTCAATCATATTACAATATAATATATCAATACAAAATATTGTGCGTCGATTATTACTGCAGGTTATGGAGTAGGGGACGAATTCTGACACCACTACAGTGGGTTAAGAAGACGTGTTGAATATAACGATACAGTTAGACGACCAGTTACACATGAACAATTATTGTCAAATTGTAGATTTAGTGTAACCCAGCTACGTGTCGGCGTCTTTTGTTTTGAATTAAAAACAATAATATTTTATTGTATCGTATTATTTTCTATACACGTGCAGTGCTTGCTTCTTTATTTACTCCTTCCACAAGTCTTCACTATAGATATAGTGGATTATATCATCATTCATCCAGAGGACTACATATTATACACAGTTACACAGGTGAAAGTTGTTGAATCTATAAATTTATTAAAATAGTAACTATTATTGTACATTTGTACACCTAATAATTTTACCTACCTACCTCTGCTACCAGCAGCGTCGACGATTTTGTACACAGTTAAATTGATTTAATATAGTCAAGCAAATCCAATTAATTGAAAACACATTTTATTTGTTTTTAATACACATATGCACTACAGCAAGATCAATGTCCCTATATCGTAAATTATAAAAATTTTTCACTATTATACCTACTTTTATATATTTATAGTTGCTGCACGTTCAATCTTATATCACATAAAAAATATATAAGTGCACAGTAAAGCTTAGTATGTAATAACTTATTGCCAGTGACTTAGTCAGGGGGTTTGGGAGTTTAATAGGGCTCCTATTGCCTTTACCCCCTAATAAATATATAAACAGTTAAACAAAAACACTCATTACTTCAAAAAGTATTGAAGTTTTTAAAAATATTTTTTTTAATATATATTAAAGTCATTGTGAAGCAATTGTTTTGGATCAAAATTTTTTATGATAATCATTCTTTAGTAGTTTATTTATCGAATGAAAAATGCATTTTTAATTTAATAACCTAAAGAAAACTAAAAAATAATATGCTTGAAAAATGAAAAGTGAAATACCTACTTTGATATCTATAAATCTTATTTCGAACAAGTATAGTTACTAATTAGTTGTACAAATATTTAAAGTTTAGAATATTTAGATGATCGGTGACTCGTAATTGAGACGTAAAATGTTAATTGTTAGCTCATCAAAATTTAAAATATTTACAAGTAAGAGTACCTGTATAACAACGGGATGCTCTATACATATAGTATATTAATAATAATATAAAATAAGTGTGACAGCTACACATATGTATAATTTTTAGTTTTTTTTTTGTGCATGATTAATAGATTTATTTTTACTGCATGTTGAAAGTCAATAGTTCACATACAACAAGGATTGTGTAACTTTTAAATAATATCTAAAAAATAGCTTAACAAATTAATTAAATTATACGTTATATGTATATATCTCCAAAATAATTGCTGGCTGGCGTCGATAAAGAGTGAAGTGTAGTATATTTCATATTATAATAAATTATTCAGTGTAATAGCTGCCAGATGGGGATCTATTATGTATGCACTAATGCACTATATAGTTACTATATGTACTACTGTCTTAAAATAATGGAATAAAATACAAATTATTGAGACAATTAAAATATTAGATAGATAGGTACCTATAGTTGGATTTTTACACAGAGTCATTACCTTTGCATTTTTAAATAAGCCGCGTATCTTTAAAGTAAAATATTTAAAATACTGCAGCCTGCAGGTGCTTATACCTATGTACCGTATGAAATGTTTACCACAGTTTATCCCAATATTGACGTCGCCCTATTTATTTCACCTTCTTTGACGAATATTGTAGGATAGAAAGTAGTTTATCGTGTTTAAAACGCACAAAACAACAATTATTGCAATCTCCAAACCAGAACGCCTCACATTTCAAGCATGCCGAATGCCGATAAAATTATATGTGGTGGCCCTGTGGTGACATGTACGATGTGCCTATTTATAAAATAGGTATAAAATATGTATAATGTAGGTATACCATTGTGCTCTATTTAATATGATTGCGGTGAGTGACATGTTTATGCACGTTTAGTGGGTAACTCTTATCAAATACTTATTCAAATGAGAATTTTAAATAAAATATCACTTTGTAATTTATGGCAGATATTCTACCATTGTTCTCCAATACAGATTATATGAAACCGGAGTGCCAAAGTTATCAACGCTGTATACATTTGATATATTATTATTGTCATGTACCTACTGGGTCTCACTTCATAAGTTCACACACTGTATTCATATTATAAACGTATGGTACTTGTAGAATGTTGTTATTTATAAGACTATAATTGAATAACGCCACACCCTCGTGGTCTCATGTGATGTCTCTGTCTTACAAATTTACAATGTTGAATGTAGCAAAATATTTGAGTTCAGCAAAACCAGTGTTGTGTGCCATTACCTTATAAATTATTATTTGAATTAAATCTTATAATAATCACCTAATTTAATTTAAGCTTAAGGGAAAATTGATTTGATTTTGAATAAAGTAAGAACGTTATAGGTGTTTTTACTTTATTTTTTTAGGATATTACAATATTTTAAAGCCAGTTGGATATGAGAATTTGTATGATACGATACTAAACATTTAAGAAGGTTTACCAAAAAAACTAAAATCTATAAAATATCGTAAAAAAAACTCGAAAGTATAAACACCTTATATAAATATATAATGTTCTTATTTTTCAGTTTGATCAATTAATATTCGTATTATTAAAGCCTAATTAACTAACTGTAACATAATAACGCATAGTCTGTGTTCTGTTATAGAGGGTTTTTCGATACCTATTTTAATTTAAAAACAAGTTATAACTGTTTATTCAATATTACGATTTAAAATGGTCATAACCCTCTTCAAAATATAAGTATCAAAAAACCTCTTAACCTAAAGTTTTATAATATTAGAACTTACGAAACTAAAAGTTAAGTTGATCATACATTTGCTATGCTAGGCACTTTTAAAGTGATAGACATAAAATGCAGGTGTGACTCTTAAAATATTTTGTTTTCTAATAAAAATTTTACTAGTATAAGTAGTGGCAGTATTACGCCAATGTATATAATATATTATATGTATTATGATAATATCATAAAATAGGTTTCTTGGATAAGTTGGATTATTATTATTTTATTTTTGTATAAAAAATTATTTGTGTACGTTTATATATGTGCATTGTGCATACATATGTATGATGTAGTGATGCCGTGATCCATTTAAATGGTTAGGTAAATACATATAATATATACTTTAATTGAATTAAAATGTTGGACCTATTATAGGTATATTTTTTATTTTTTATTTTATTTTTATTTATTCTTCAAGAAGATAATGGGCCCCACTACACATATACTTCACATATATATGAAAAAATATTTTTATTAGGTTCGAATTTTTAAAGTTTTATTTCAAAACAAATGTTTTTATTATTTTTTTATTACATTAATGTTATACCAAATCGATTTTAATTTTTTATGTAACTTTAAAAAGAATAACTATTTTCACATGACATTTTCACCAAATGTTTATAATGCTTATATAATCATTTTCTACACATAATAATAATATTATAATAATAATAATACGACTCATGTTGTGCTATTTTTAGGTATATGGAATTTTCGATTATAATTAGTTTTTTTAATTAGTGTCGATAAAAAAATATTTGCTAGGTCAAAAAACTAAAAAATGTAACACAATAAAATAGAAATAAAAGGTAGCTCGTGAGTTGATGTCAGTGAAAATAAAAAAAGTAGAAGTAGAGTGCAAATCCGCAATCATTTTTCATGAGCGTCAAAAGTTCATATTTTGATAATACTCCCAAAAATCATGAAAAT